GAGAATGAGAAAAAAGAAAGAGAGAGTGAGAGAGAGAGAGAGAGAGAGAGAGAGAGAGAGAGAGAGAAAGAGAGAGCGAGAGAGCGAGAGAGCGAGAGAGATAGAGCGAGTGAGAGAGAAAGGAAAGCGAGAAGAGGAAACACATTATCTGAGAGCGAGAGGAGAGAGAGAGTGAAGGAAGAGAGACACCGTGAGAGAAAGAGGGAGAGAGAAAGAGAGAGAGAACGAAACTGAAAGCGGGAGAGTGAAAGAGCGAGCTAGAGAGACGGGGTGGAGCGCAAGAAAGAGAGAGAGAGAGAATCAGAGAGAGAGAGAGAGAGAGAGAGAGAGAGAGACTGAGAGCGAGAAAGAAAGAGAGCGAGAGAGAGAGAGAGAGAGAGAGAGAGAGAGAGAGAGGGGGAGAGAGAGAGAGAAAGAGAGAGCAATCTCTCATCGCTATGAAGTTTTAATAGATAGCTGCTGGTAACGCGCACGCACAGCGTGACTCTACAGACGGAAACCCGCAAACAATGAAAGCCGCAGCAGTGGCGCCAGTCTCCAGCATGCGGCGACGTCACCGTCGCTTTCACAGAGCGCCGACAGCCGACACAATTCTAACGACGGCGGGGATGCCGGGGCTGGGACAATGGGCGGGCGTACCCCACCTTGCGGCATAGTGTTTAACTAAATCAACAGCGACAACCACTGTTACAATGCCCTGGTGATCAGAGCAAATTTGCATCCGTTTAACTGAGCGCCCATTATAGGATTTTACATGTTTTTTTTCTACATAATTGCTATCCCGTCAGGGCGGCCATTTTAAAAAGCAATACCGAGTGGCTTTGAGCTTAATTGGATCGTTAAACATGATTATTGTTGCGGACATCAAATATGACATCGGAGTGGCGTTATGTTCGCACTCAACATGACCTACAGTGTGCAGTTCCTTTTCAACCACACTCAAGGGTCTACCGTACCCTCCACTCCTCTCTTTTACGACCGCTTTCTGTCTCTCTCTCGCTCTCTACACCACCACCAACAGCAACAGCAGCAGCAGCAGCAGCACCATCACCACCACCAACAAAAAGGATAGAGATGATGTCCAGATTGAGACCTATGTCATTTTCGTCAATGTGGGGGTAGCCCCTTTAAAATCGACAGGGGTGTTGTTGAAGATGTTGTTTGTTCATTTCGATCGAGAAACATTATGTCAGTTCACAGGAAGTGTCGAAAAAAACTGACAGTGTTTAAGCTACACTACTCGCCGTTTCCGACTGTTTCTCACCATGGCCACGCGCGAGAATTTCCCGTTATCTTCCTGTGCTACGGCTCTCAAATCTATCTGCGTATTTGCGCGCGCCATTTACGGACTGATACTACTTGCTCTCCGCAGTAAATTACCTGGAAATCCATTGATATTAGTTGGTTTTTTGGAAAGTCATAAATGAAATAAGAAATAGTACGCCATTGATGTTGACTGTTCCCTACTGCCCTCTCGCGGCCATCTGGTGATGCATATTATGAATTCGCCCCCGCCCCCTCTTCCAGCTCCCGCTGGCTGCGCACGTCTGAGTGTCGCTGGGGGCGTTTTAGGGGGGTAAGGGGAAGACCAGTAACATTGGCAAAAACACCGGCCCTCCGAGCCGGTAGTTTCAGCCATTTTAGCGAGCACCTACATTTTTATTAATAGCATTAATGAGCAAGTAGCCTACATTACTGTTTTACCTGAAGGATATCACGCCATAATTTATCAACTTTTTTCAAATTTGAAATCGAGAATGCAAGCGTGAAACATGACATTGATTTTACGAACAAAATTTGTGAGGGCTGGTAAATTATGCTGCTGTAAAATTGCTGTTACCAGCCCTCTGGGCTAGTGAAAAAATATCTGAATTTCGTGCCCTGCCTTATAATAAAGCTCAGCTCCTGATTAAGGTAAGGTCAGCTCTTGGTCATAAGGCCAAAAAATAGGTGTGTATCTTATTGCATCGAAAACAAAAGTAGGATAGGTAAGTAGGGATTTTTTTAATTTTTGTTTTTATTCGGTTCCTAATATCCCTCTGATGCATGCTATAAAGTGGTGTATAGGTAGGGATAAGTTAGTAAGCAAGTCCAGAACGTGTTTGTAGTAAAAAATCTCAAGTTTTGTCTGTCAGATTTCAAATTAAAAAACCTTTTTTTGGGGGGAAAAAAAGTTTAGGGTCGTCCCTAATAATCTAGGGACGGTCGGTCGACCGGAAACACACCTATTTTTTTGTTTGGCCTAACTGTTTTTAAATACTTCTGCAAAGTATATATAGGTAAATTTGTGATTTGATGTAGATATATATGTATACGTGTATACTAGTATTATATAAAAATAATGTTTATCTGGTATGTTTGTATTAAGAAATTAACACTATATATATATTGTAATTATGTGTGCATATATCCGCAGATTTGGATAGCTTAATATTTTATTTACAATTTGTGATGTTTTGACGTTGATATTGAGGAATATATATATACACGTGCGGAAATATGTAATTCATGTCGTTTTCATTGTAATGTATATTTTTAAACTTGATTAAAAGCTATTTTCTTTGTGAACTGTGGCTTAATTGTGCAGCAGTTTCTATATGTCATAAAATCAAATTGACTATATGCTCAGATTGCTTAAACACTGATATTTTATAACAACCTTCCTCTCTCCTTCCCACTATTTTCTCTACCCTCCCACCTTCCTATCCACCCTCCCACCTTCCTATCCACCCTCCCACCTTCCTCTCCCCTCCCCGCGGAAACAGTAAAGATTCGCCTCCTCTCTCCCTCTCCCCTCTCCCTCTCTCACCCTCTCCCGGCGTCCCTCGTCTGTCACTCACCGTCCTCCATCGTTCTGATGTCATGCGGCTCTGTGCTGGGGCCCGTACCGCGGCGGTTGTAGGCGCTAACGACTACACTGTAATAGGTGAACTTGTGCAGGTTGCTGATGACGTGTTGCTCCTCGCTGTCGCCTCCGTACGGCACTGTGTGATGCTGGTAGGGCAGCGAGGAGTTACGAACCTTGTAGCCGACGTAGTAACCTTTCAGTTCCCCGTTACGCTGTACTCGCCTCGGTGGCTGCAATATACACATACACCGTGCGATGATCACATAGAGAAACGGAGGAAAG